TTGAGTCGACAATAGAATTCAATGTGTTCACGCACAGTTAGTTCATCAAAGAGAATATCATGTTGTGGGCATATTCCGATCGATTCTCTTGCTCGGCGAAGATCGGTTCGGATGTCATATCCATTTATGATGGCAGTACCTGATGTCGGTGGTATCAAACCCGTCAACATTTTGATGGTTGTACTCTTGCCGGCTCCGTTATGGCCCAATAGCACCGTTATTTGATTCCGGAACATGTTGAAAGTTACATTTTTGCAGGCTACTTTTCCATTGGTGAATATCTTTCGAAGATTTTTCACTCGAACACCGGCCTCACAATTCACTGGTTCGTACTCGAAATTCTCATTTTTCTCTTGAATATTTACGGCAGCTCTCTTAGTGTATCCATCATCGCCGAGCCAAAAATCACTTTTGCAAAAGAAATTCCATTTGTGTGGCACACCATATTCACCGGGAAATACTTTTTCTATGTAGAATGCAATCAGAAGAAATACAAAGGCTGTTATTGTCATGAACCACATGGTTGTTTCAACTTCGATATTGCCGTCAGTTATTTCAATTGATTTCCCCCATCGCCAACCACCAACATTTCGTTCGTACTCTGCAATTGTTTTGAATCCATATGACATTGCAACATTTGGCGAAATGCACGCCAGCCGTTGCACTAATTTGGGCACTTTGATGTTGTTGTTGATTGTGAGAAAAACATATGGCATGTAAGAGACGAACCATATGAGTCCAGATACAGCGGCGGCAGTATTCGCTTTTGAGAATAGAACACTTAACATGAAACAGTATGTTGTCATTGAAGCACCATACACAAGTAGAAAACCCCACATAGACTTCCAATCCGAGTGTGTAAAAATGGCGATTGAATGAAATACTGGAAACTGAAAGCAAAGAATTTTTTAATAAAATTGGAAGACAAGTGGGAAAATAATTGAAATTACCTTTAGTACACCGATCACCAAAATGTTGGAAATAGACAAAAAGAACATTGTTCGCACAAACCAACTGGCCCAATGTAACCAAACCGGCATGCCCATAATTTTCATAATTTCTTTCAATTGTTTCTCCTTTTCCACCGCGATAATTCGAACCGTACATATTATCGGATAGACAAAACTTAACATAATAAACAAACCAATGGCTCTGTCCAATCCATCGAGCAGGTCATCTTTCATGTATGGCGGGTACGGAAATCGTTGCATTTTAATTGTGGGCATCATCGACTGACGATTTAAATCATCAGTCCAGTTATTTTGCATATGATTGATAGTAAATCTGAATGCGATTAATTGTTGTATGGCCAGAAAACTTTCAAAAAAGTAATTTGGTGCTCCACCTTGGTCCGTGTGCTTTGCACGTGGTCCACCACCGGAATATTGTGGGTAATCCATATTTGTCTGCCAACTGAAAACGATTGGATCCTTTGTGAAGTTCGTTCTAAGTTCACCTGGGAAACGCAAACTATAGTCTAGTTTCTTTGGTAATACGGTTACATGCTGCAAAATAAAAAGAATAAGAAGTTTTTCCATTTTTCCTCAAATTGAAGAATTTCTTCTCTTGATTATTGAAACATTTTCTTTAATTTTGAAAAAAATGTTTGAAATATATTTACTTTGTGATGAAATACAACTGCTGCAAATACATCGTTTCGTTTTTTCATTATTCCTCCAATTCTGGTTGAATTTTGCACACACATTGGTTTCCAACGGCGTTTAGATAGATAACTAAGATCGGCTGTTATTTCTTTGGTTAAATTCCCAAAGACTTCATTTTTGGGCCAATAAATTAATTTCAATTCACTTATATTCCCTGGGATACTGTTATTCGTTTCACTACACACATAATTGAACAGAATCTCAATTAGATTAAATCGAATAAATATAACCACTTCAAAAGACCTACAGTTTCATATCAAAGGACTTGAAGTAAGTATTTTTGGCCTCAATTTCAGGTTTTACCAAAATTCGAATAAATAATAGATTCACAGTGAACAGCATCGGAATGAAGATTTGGAAGATCGTTTGTATTTTGTGGCGGTATTGAAGTAAAAAGTTCTTCCACATTAAAAGACAAAATTTATCAAAAATGTTGGCGGTTTTTCGGTTTTTACATTGTTCACGTCTTTGTACGATTTCAATCATTTCTTTGGATGTTTCATAGCCGATAGAGCTCACCAATGATTGCTCATCATCACTGCTATTTTCTGCTAAACAAATCAAAGTAGAAAAACATATGTTTCGATTTGATATTGCATTGTATACTAAATCATGTCTCTAAAAAGTGATGATTTTACATATTTTGCATATCTGATACGAACAACAATAAAAAATGTAACATATTTACCGGAAAAAATGTGTTGCCAATAATTACTCAAACCACGTACTGATGTCATTGTGATTCGTTGAATAATTTAGGGAAAAATCACGAACGGACAAGAACACTGAGTGTAGGCTCCGTGTCTGGTTATATATGGAAGATATCTGTTGGACAGCCAAGTTTGAATTAGAAAATTAATATGGATTGAAATGTGACATTGAATATACACATACGATGTATGCTTTCATGTTCTGAAAAATTTCATGTAAAAAAAAAAGAAAAGAAACGAACGGAATTCTAAATGCAAAAGTTGATGGATTTTTTCAGTCATTAGAAGCCAAACCACTTGTTATTTAGTTTATGCCAATGTTTCGAATATTTGTTTTTATTCTTCATCAGGGCTATAATATGAAAATAAATAAAATTCAAACATCAAACTATCAAAGAGATCAGAAAATAAACAAATATCAATACCTAAAACAATTAAAATGTAGTTCATTGTACAAATTCTAAATATTTCAAATGTCTACCCTTTTCATATGCGTGTTTAGATTTGCCCAATTTTTGTCGTGACAACAGCAATTACATTTTTTTTTAATTCTCCCAGTGTACGATTACCAAAAGAAATAACCAACTTAAATGCGTAAAACATTCGACCATCATGATTGTTCCGTTGGGAATAAAAGTTGAAATAGCCGAAAACAAACTTTCGAAAGAAGTTTGGTAAAAGTTGAAAAGTATCATCTTCAAAATCTCGAAAAAAAATTGAAAACTCTATAGTTGAAGAAACTTTTCAAAGAACAGATTGAGTATTTGAACTTATCTTTGTCATACACACGCAGTTTGAACGAATAAATGAAACGCAAAAAGATGAGCAACGACAAAGTCTATGTTTGTGTTTAATATGAAACCTACGAGTGTTTTAATGAAATATTTGGATTCATTCCACGCACTAATAAATGAGTGTATGAATAGTGTATAAATTGGAAAATAAAAAACGTTTCATTTCAATTCAATCAACTTCAATCAATTTAAATTAATTTTTTGCTTCCAAACAAAAAACGAATAAATTACATCGTCGCAGAGTTCGATAATTTCATCATATTATCACTGCGGCATTATCACTGTTTTACCAGTGACATAATGTTAAGTTATTTGGTATTTTGTTCTTGGAAATGAGGAACGCCAGGCCGTCGTCTGATTATTTAAAAAAAAATGATATTCAAGTAATAAAGGCACGAATGTTTTCCGCATGAATAGAAGATGAATAATCGAAAATCTATGTGACATCTCATATCAGAAAAAACCTACATTATCTGATGTTGAATGGAATTATTCCTCATTGTTCGAATATTCGCATACAAAAGCACTCATATCATTTTGCATGAAGCTCAAAAGGTTAATCAAAACTTCGATTGATTAAGCACAACAGAATCAAGCAAAATATAATGTGCGACGCAATAATATCAGGATTCTGAATAGATTTAAATTATTATTCTATGCAATATATGTTGAGGAAGGTCATAAATGTATATATCTCATAGATCAATTTTTTCTATATAAATAATAGAATTTAACAGTCAATATATAATTTGAGCTTATTCAAAAAATCATGAAAACTTGTACGTATATATCATCACTTCTCTCAGTTTTATAATTTCAATTTATAATTATTAAGTTGTTTCGCACTGAATTTTCTACGCATAAAAAACACTTAAGAAAATCGGTGATGAATCATCACTGATGTAACATGAATTTAAGAAGAAGAAAAATGTAGTTTGTATACCTTAAAAGGGCAAGGAAAAGTATTCACTGAAGAGCACTTTGTTTTATCACAAATAATAGAAGCCGATGTAAGGCACTTTTTAAATTTTTGTTAAGGCAACTTTCAACTGCATCTGACGATGAAATTAATTTTCGGTGCGAACTTATGGCAAGTTCAGTTGGACTAAACAGAAAAATTCTTTCGAAAGCCGGAAAAGTGGTAGAAAACGATGGAAAAGTATTGGAACGTTTGGCTTGGAATATGCGAAACGTGCGCGCGCATAATTGTCTGTTTTTGTTTTGCTGATGAAAGCAAAACTTATACGGATATCATATAACTCACTATTGTATATATTGGTTCCAGCACGTTTTTTCCAATTTTATTGTTTATGTAGCTCAATTGGCGGCATTTATCCTGGCAGTCTTGTTATGGTTAGAGTAAAATACTCACAAAAAGTACTCAATAACCACTTGTTGATTTACTTCAGCAAATTAATGAGGTCCACGACCATATGATTTCAAAAATATTAAATAATCCTGTTTAAAGTGGGAGAAGTTTAACGTTGGCGACTTCATGTCTTCGCACAGCTATTGAAATTTTATTGAGGAAATAAATTTCGATATCCAAGCCATGAGGTACAGGGTTCTCTTTCAACACATATTGTACACACAAACAGTGACATCAATGCTGTTTATCTCGTTATTTTGCTCCATTTGCGATAGGAAATCGACCGATAGAACGTTGTTGAATGGAGAAATTATACATGAATGGAGGTACCTTGCGAAAATTCTATCCATCCATATAATATTAGATAGCACAGAAATCATATAGCACCAGTGATGATGTAAACAATTTTTTTGCAAACAAAACAATAAATGTATAAAATATAATGAAACAAAACGGTGAATTCTTGTAAATTACTTTATTTGCCGACTCGGTTCAGTGTCTGAACTTCAGACCGAATTTATCAATGCTTAATCTAATCTCATGCAATTGAATTAAGTAGATATAGACTGTAAGTCCATATATGAATGGGGTAGAATAAAAACTACTTCTCGAAAAATTGGTATTTGAAAACGAAACCAAAAAAAAATTTCAATAAAAAGTGAACCAATTTTTTTTGTCCAATTGAAGTGAACCAAAAAAAATTTGTACAATAATAGTGAACCAAAAAAAAATTCACTCGGTTTTTTCAGTGTAAAATACACTAGAAATGAAATTTTTTTGGGGTTCACTTTTATTGAACAAAATTTTTTTGGTTCACTTCAATTGGGCAAAAAAAAATTGAAAGTTTTTTAGGTTTCGTGTTTAAACATTTTTCGAGTAGTTTTTATTCTACCCCATTCATATAGATAATAATAACTGTCCTTGGAATCACTCGTGATGCACAGAATGGTATATATGCAAGCTCCAAGTCAGTAAACAGGTAGTTGTTTTGAAAAATGCGAGAGAAAAAAAAATGCTTGCCACTGCTTTCGACGCTGTTAATAAAGTTTGGTTGGGGCCCAATCCTGAATTCAAAGTTAATGAGCACCAAAATGTTGGGGAATTTTTATTGAAAAAACTCGAATTGGATCCAGAATTTGTGGCCCAAGTAATTTCTATTCGAATTCATTTTTTTATTAAAATTAATTTTTGTCAATAAAATAATTAACATTGTTATTGTGATCGTTCTTCAATTAGATAAATGGTGACACAGGTGAGTGGATTACAAAAGCAGAAATTCGTAAGCGGGCGATACGATGTGCTCAAAACCTAAAGAAATTGGGATGTACTCAAAGTGATTGTATATCGATTGTTGCACGTAATCACCACAACTTAACGCCACTTCTATTTGGAGCCTTATGTAATGGAACACCAGTTAGTCCACTGGATGTCATTATTCCAAAAAGTTTGTTGACACTAGGTCAGAAGATAACCACAAAACATTTTTGATAAGAAAATTCGTTATTTATAGAAGAAAAATCAACTATTCTGCAAAGAGTTAGACCATCGATAATTTTCTGTGATGCTGATGTCTTGCAAACGATTAAGAAAATTACCACCGAGATTGGATTGAATGCAAAATTGTTCACTGTAAATGGATCCGTTGACGGATTCGATTCGATCGATAGTTTGATGGTTGCAACTGGCACTGAACGCTCTTTTGTGTATGTATTTTCAATAAAGACCACATAAATATTGCCCATTCAATAAGTTAACTGTAATAGACTGACATTTTACTATTAATCAACCGTTTTTATTTCAGTTGTGCAAAAATCAAGAATTCTTTTTCGCATATCGCTTTAATTGCTTGTTCTTCTGGTTCAACTGGACCGTCCAAGTCGATTTGTATGTCTCATGCGCTATTTTTGTACACACTTTTACATGAAAACTTTGAATTTGCGCATGTACATTTGTGCTTTAGTTCGTTGTATTGGGTTTCGGGTATTTTGGGAACAATGAGCACAGCATTCAATAATCATCGAATTTTCACTTCAAAATCATTTTCAACGGATTTATTCTTTGATGTTGTGGATAAGTACAAGGTTCGTTTTAAACAAATAACATACACATTGGAAGTGTAAATATCATCAAACATTAAAGAAAATGCATGTATTGACATTACTAGATAAGCTCGTATACAGGAACGCCACCTCAATTTCAAGCCATTATTACCAGCGAACGAGCTAGAACCACTGACTTATCATCCATTCTGAAGTGTTTTGTGATCGGAAGTTCGGTGCCACAAGTTTTGCTTGAAAATGTTCAAACGATCATTCCAAATTGTGCTTTATTTACGATTTATGGGACGACAGAAGTTTGTGGTGCGATTAGTCGCACGGCACCGAATGAGTTGGAACAACATCCAAATTCTGCTGGGCGATTAGTTCCAGGGGCCAATATCAAAATTATTAACGATAGCACGGGTGCAAAATGCGGAATCGAAGAAGAGGGCGAAATCTATTTAAAACTTCCAATTTCATCAATGGGTTACTATAAAGATGAAATGGCCACTCGAAACTCCTCGGACAGTGAAGGATATTTTATAAGCGGTGATCTTGGATATTTCGATAGATTTGGAAGACTAATAATCAACGGACGGAAAAAGGATGTATTCAAAAGTTGTTCTTATCCAGTTTGGCCAATAGAAATTGAAAATCTCATTCTTAAACATGGATCCATTAAAAATGTGTCTGTTGTTGGTGTTTATGATGATGAAAAGATGACCGAATTGCCAGCTGCTGTTGTCATCAGACAGGAGGAATGTTCAATTACAGAAAATGAAGTTTATAATATCGTTGCCGGTAATTTTTCGATTTTAATTCGATTTTTTATCCATCGACTCGATACGTTTCTTTTCTTTCTTTTAGGTCAATTAGCTACGTACAAATGCTTGGATGGTGGAATTTATTTTGTTAATAAATTACCACTGACACCATCGGGCAAAATTGTTCGATCAAAAGTTAAAGAAGTGGCACAAAAATGGTATCAACAACGGAAAAATGATCGAAAAAATTGCTTATCTTCAATTTAAATTCGTATAGATCTGAAAAATTTGTTCAGGGCGGCGTTCATTTTCTTGACACCACCCGGAAAAATTATATTCAGCCATTAAAAACTATGTATTAGAAACATAAAACACAAAAGAAAGCATAAAATTTAAGCAAAAAGTTTTTTATGAACTCGGTCTTCCCTTACTAAATGATATTTTTGTTTTATTTTTTCTTAAATGAATGTGTTGCGATACAAAATATAGAACTTTCTTATATTTAGCTTAGATCGATTTGTTATAAAGGAAATTGCCTATAAAATGGTAGTAAATCAAAATTTAATCATCGTCATTGAAGCGCATGTGTTTTGGTTTTGGTGCCAGTAATTCTTTGTCGGTGGGTCGTTTTTCATGTAATCCGTGTCGAATGAATCGACCGGCCGCACCTTTGTCCAATACCGGTCGTTTGGTTTTCCGTTCATAAATGTCCTTATCACGTATTATTGCTTGTCTCACACGCGATATTTCATTTCGAATGGGATTCTGTGAAATGTAAATAGATTTTTGTTGGATTAGTTCTCAAATGGTATTTGATGAATACGTAGTAGCTTCAATGCAAGAACAAAAAATACTCACCGAGTTCGTGTCAATGGCCTGGAGTTTACAGTACATCCAATACAGTGAGTTGATTGAATACGACAAATATAGATCAAATTTGACTTTTTCTTCCATGCTCAAATCGTCATAATTTGGGAAATCACATGCGGCCGATATTTGTTCATCAATTGCATCTAATGACTGAAATACAAACATACAGACTTCAACATTATCATTCATAAATCAAATTTCAATTCATTTTATCGATCGATAAAGGCAATCCCATTAAAATGTCGTAAATTTCACGTAAATTCTCACCTTTTCCAAATTGGTTGACTTGGTGATAAAATCGGCGTCATTGCGAAGTTCGGCAAAATCCATCGGTGGTCTTTTGGATATTTCGCTTTTTTCAACTTCCTTTTGTGTCATTTTCCTTCCAATTTGATTTCAATTTTTAAAAAAACTTGGACAATTTTCCAAATCTACTTGATTTGATGAAAAAATCTAAACAATTTCTTTAATTTGATGTTTAATGTTTTCTCTTGAATTGAAATGTGATTTTTTTTTCATCTGTCAAGCGTGGTTAGCGAAACGTCAATGTGAACTGTCAAATTCCACTGGAAACATGAAGGTTGTTCACACGTCCAAACGACATTCCAACAATTTGACATTTAAATTCAGTACCGAGAAAACATGTCAACAAACACGCATTCGACGATTTTTTTCAATTTTATTTTGATTTCTTTTCGGAATTTTATTTAAAAATTTAAATAAAAAAAATGTTTAAAGACACATTTAAATATTATAAATCAAAGTGTCCGCCGCCAACCTATGAAAAAGTCATCGATTTTGATACAATTGACAAAAATGTAAGTATGAAATCTTCTTCTTTGGAAACAATCTTGATTGTGTCTCTTTTTGCAGGCGGTAATCGTTCATTCACCGAAAAAGGTAAAAAATTCGGAAAAATATCGAATACGTGGCCTTTTACCAAGTGACAAATGGCAAATCTATGAACTAAAAAATCGGCCAGGATTGATTTTCATCCGAAATCCATTCACCGTACGGGGTCAACGTTATTGGATTGCACGGTGTTTACAAGACTATCCACAGGCTCCACATGTTGTCAATTTGAATGCAAAATATTTTAGCAAAAATATCATTGATGATTGGTGGCATGCATTACAAGAAACAAACGATGAGAAAGAAAAATGTCGATTAAAAAACGGAATGCGATGGACAACATTGGGTTATCATCATGATTGGGATACGAAAGTTTATGCCGAGGAAAAACGTCACAAATTCCCAGACGATTTGGCCAAACTTAATGCATACTTTGCCGAAGTACTTGGGTTGGGTGATTATTCAGCCGAAGCAGCCATTGTCAATTTTTATCCATTGGGAACCACACTTGCTGGACATACTGACCATTCGGAAAAGAATTTAGCCGCTCCATTGTTTTCAATCAGGTAAATCAAATTTGATTGGTGAAAATTTGAACGATTTAAATTTCCTTATGAAAAATCGACAAAACATCGAATATTTTCAGTTTCGGACAAACAGCAATATTTATGCTTGGCGGCAAGACTAAAGAAGAAGAAGCATCGGCTATGTTCCTTAAAAGCGGCGACATTGTGGTAAATTTTTTAACATTTTTTCATATTTTCAATCATTTAAAGGAAAAAAATGTGTTTCTCTTCAATAGTGCATGTCAAAAGAGAGCCGTTTATGTTACCACGCTGTGCCGCGTATCGTAAAGACGAATATTGACTGGGTGAATGCACCTTTAAATGAAATTGACACCACGAAGTACAGTGAAAACGAAGATTCCGAGGAAGAGCATAAAAATCATAAAAAACAACGACTGACCTCACCAAGTGATAATAATGAATACAATGATTCCTTTCGCGACAGCCTTTGGAACGAGATTCAAGATTCCAAACAATGGAAGCCATTTGCGGATTACATAATTGATTGTCGTATCAATGTGAACGTACGCCAAGTGCTGGAACATGGTGAACAATCTCTGAACTTGTAATGAACCACAACAAATATGTGTGTACTGTCATTTGTTGATGTTTCTTTTGTAAAAATTTACTAAATAAAGATTTATTTATTGGTTTTAATGTAAATGTGGTGCGGTTGGTGTTATTCTTCTTTATTTGAATTTTGTAAAGCTGATTAGCATTCATTGAAATAACTACTCCCAAAAATCAACAGTCATTAGAAGGTTTTCGGTAGACGAAAGCCACAGAAAAGTCATGTGCTCTTTTCTTTCAATCGACGTAAGCACTTTCAAAAAGCATGAATTATAAATTAATTTAAATAAAACACTCTGTCTGTGTGTGTGCTATTTAGCATAAACATCCGTACATCGACTGTAATGGCAAAACAGTCAATGTAAACAAAAACCGATAGCTTACTACTCGAGCTATAGAACAGTTCCTTATCAATTTTATCTGTAAATGTGCGTCTAATAGATTGTCATGAAATGAAAGATGGTCTTTGTAAGCAAGAAAACTCGGCTAACGAAAATGTATGCAAACAAAAATGAACGAAAGCTAAAGCGAACTACCAGCGAATAAGAAAATTAAAATCAAATTCAAGCACCAGCTCCTTTTGCGAAAATAGCAAGAGCAACGAAGAAGAAAAAAAAAGTTGTATACACACAACACTGTATCAAATTAACTGCACGTTGACTACGAATACATGCTCGTTAATTTATTTGCATCAAAAATTCATGAATTTTAATTAAACTCATTAAATACAGTATTATTACATGCAGTATACAGTTGATAAAGAGTGGTGCTAAGATACACATCCACAGCGAAAAAAATAACGAAAAAAACAACAGTATTATGCAACCCCATAAAAACAGCAGCAACAGCAGCATTTTTGATTCGGTACTTGCAACAAACAAAATGGAGATAAAGGAAGAGAGAGAAAAATACACCTCTTGAAATACCATCACGATTTTGAAATGGGGAATTTTTTTTGTTTCGTTCGCGTTGCGTTCGTTATCTGATCCGCCACTGGTATTTTAATGCGCATTAAAGCGAAGGTGGCAAAGCAATTCAACAAACGAAAATAATAATAAACAAACAACACAAATCTTAAAAGAAACAAATGAAAAGATACATCACGAAGAAATGTTAAAATAAGGGAAACGCACTCATCCCTCCCGACTATTTTTTTTATCGCTGGCAAAAGTCGCACACGTGTAATTGGAAATGGCTCGAATTTTCACTTTACGGGAGAAAGATATTTTGAGCGGGCGTCTGAACGCTTTCAAATGAATTGAAATTATTTTGTATTCAAGGTTAGACAAAATGGGAATAAGATAGATTTTAATTCTGAACCACCGTGTGATATAATGTAATGTATACCGACGTTTGAACCGTTTAACGTAAGAATCATTTTACCGTTTTGTGTGCACGGTGGGCCGTGGTGGTAAGCAATAGAAACCAAAAAGAATTACGACAGTCAAAACATTTAAATGTATTTGCATAATGGAAATATCGAATCGCAAAGTCACACCGTTTCAAATTGTCGATGAAATTATTTTCACGGTTCATCGTTTGGCAAGGGTTTCGATATTATTTAAATTCGTGTTGATGCTATGTCATGAATGCACAATTATATGGTGAATGGATTGAAAATGTTTTACAAGAATTGGCGAGTACCAAAAACAGTGTGTTTACCACATTTTAACGAGTATTTGAATACACCGAAAAATACCGCAGCCATATTTTCAATAAATACTGTTGTATGAATTGTGAAAATAATTTTCAAAATTGTAAAGGTCGTTTTGTATTTTTTTCACCATTCAATCCAAATCCTACGCTTTTTCCGTTTTTTTGGAGATCGTTCCTAGCAAATCGAAAGATAGTTTTTCCAATTTGTAAAGGAGTAGTTTCTAAATCCATTCTTCAGGGTTAATCAGATCCCTGGTCCGAAGCAATGATTCAACTGATTGGGTACCAACATTTATTTGACGCTTAAATTTGAACATAGTACACACACAAAACACTAGTATTAGAATTGTTTAAATGTGTTGGTATATTGGAAATTCACCAACATTTGTCATGTGTAGAAATTATTTCACCAGAAATTAAAGGACCCTACCCAGTCTATGTATTTCGGATGGATATCCATCCGAGATATTTTAGAATATCTGGATATTTAACGCAACTGCACAGAGCCAGAGCTGTGTGCGTCGCACATATAATCTACGGTATGTCGCTACACGTAAAATACAGACACAGTGTGACTGTGTACGTGCGGCACTTGATAGACATATACGTCGCGACATACCGTAGATTCTATTTGCGACGCACACAGCTCTGGCGCTGTGCAGTTGCGTTGAATATCCAGATATTCTAAAACATCTCGGATGGATATCCATCCGAAATACATAGACTGACCCTACCTTTTGTATTACATCTCATTATTTGACCGGTATTTTTGATACTGAAATTGTAAGTACATATTCTGGACCAGAATTTCTGGTATATTGAATTATTCGCTTTTGTTCAATTTGAAATTTTAACGTCTTCATTAAAAAATTAGGAAAAAAAACAATTTAAAATTCAATTTAACTTAAAAAGTACACATGTCCTAATTTATAATTATAAATAAGTCAAATTAATTAATTTCAAATGGTATAGAAAGCACATATATCAGGTGTATAGGATTTTTTTCGGTCTTATTGTGCTATTTATTTTGAAATTTTAACGTACATTTTAATAATAATAATAATTCTTCGTTTATGCTTTGAAGAAGGTCCGCATAAAAGAGAATACACAAAAACGATATTTTCGAATACACGAGCGATATGTGAAAAAAATAACGACTTTTTCCTAGTACTTTTTATTTTTTGTTATAAGAGTTCAATAAAAATAATTTTTTAAATTAAAAAGAAAAATATATATATTTTTTTAAATCGACTTAATAGTGAAGGCGCTAAAATTTTATTGAACTGTGGTAGTAAGCAATAGAAACCGAAAACATTTAAATCTATTTGCATAATGGAAATATCGAATGGCAAAGTCACACCGTCTCAAATTGTCGATCAAATTATTTTCACGGTTCAGCAAGGGTTTCAATATTATTTAAATTCGTGTTGGTGCTATGCCATGAATGCACAATTGTATGGTGTACAAATATTGAATGGATTTTCAATGGGCGAAAAGGTTAAGACTGAATGAATAAGTCGAATAATTTGTGTGCATCTGACGGCAAAGGTAAGAAAATGTCCTTTCATAGGAAAGAGTACATTTTCATGAGGACGGGGCATGAAAGTAATTTTGCACCATTGAATTGAATATAGTTTAAAGAAAACGCATAAATTCAAGCGCAGCAACAACAAAGCGATTTCCTTGTGATTAAAAAATTGTTCATTCGAAAAAAAACTAGGCCACAAATAGATTTCTGTCAATATCATACGGCAATTTCCATAAATTGACGGCATTTTTCAGACATTTTATTGGATCGTTAGTTAGTTCAAACCAATTCACACGAAATTTACCTTCGACGCAGTTAGTGCTGGTGTTTTCGCTGCTATTTCCTTCGAATCGTTTGTTATTTGCCTTTCAATTTCAGATGCTGCTCAAATCGAATGTATAAATTGTATGTGTGTGGCTTTAAGCGATAATGCAGGCACAAGCAAATATTTTCTAGAAATATTTTATACATGCAAAAAGCAAAAGCAGAAAAAACCGACGATTTTTACTCGTAAATCTTCACAAAGCACACTATGTGCGCATTGGTGAGAATCACTTGAAATGAAGAAAACACCACCATTAAAGGCGGTAAAATGGTGAGAGCGTGAAAGCTTTCCAATGTTGCACCAAAGTAAAGACGACGGCGAAAGAGCGTGAGTGGCACACAAAAAAAAACTAACTGAATATGTTTGCGAATATATCCCGGCTAAGTGGAGCATTTTATAGTGTCTTACACTTTACCGCCGTTTTACTTGAAACTTTTTTTTGGCACCGAAAAAAAAACAATTCCAAAAAGTATTCCGACAGTAAAAATGTGTGCAGCGTAAATGAGATGGCTCTTGTAAAATGATGTAAGCTGAAAAATCCCGAACTAAATCTGGATGATGAAACGACGAGTCAACGACCAATGCCTATAAGCAAGTTTGTAGTTGCTTTACTTTTTTATTACTATACTAGAAACGATATAAACAAAATGTCGAGTGCAAAATGCAATACTCACGCTTTTCGTCGACACTGTTTATTCATTTCCTTTCCTTTTTTCACTCGCCTCGTTATTGTTCCGTTCGGGTTTTTGCACCCGAAATCGGCTTCTTTCTCATTTCATGTGTCGATGCCATTTCCTATTCAAGCGTTCAATGCTTTTGTTCTACGACGTTTCCATCTGCCCGAGAAACTGTCGTAAGTGTCCTTAAGAGACGAATTTGTTTCACAGCTTTTATTCTTTTATTTTCATGCAGTCGAATTTTCGCTTTCGTTTTTTCCACGTGATTCATGAGCCTTCTGTGTATTGGCCCATACATACTTCGATGGTACTTTATGTTTACGATTTTCACAACAAGAGAAATTGCAATAGAGACAGCAAAAAAGACAACTAGAAAAGCCATTGAGCCATTTGCTGCTATAAATTGGAGTGAGAAAAAGAAGAAGATTTCGTTCCATCGAAGATTTTAAAGGACGCATTCGAAGAGATTTGGTAATCAAGGTACATTACAATATTGCCATCCAGCGTCGAATTAAGAAGATATACATGCAACATCAATTGTGATAGCTGTTTTAGTTACAGATTTTACACCATTGTACATGATTGCTTTTTTCGTACGTGATAATTGCAAATTCAAACATTTTCCAAATCCGAAATTTGGTGAATATGCATGCCGCGAAGAAGATTTTGTCTGACATGTAAAGAAGCACAAAAAAAAACAATGAAAAATCAAAAAATATCAAAAGTGCGCCATTTCCATGTTTATCGAAAAACCGAAAACTTTAAATCGAAAATGAACCGAATATCATAAATTTTGCATGAAAATATTGTATTTCACGGAAAGTTAAATGCGCGTTCGTTAAATAGAAACTTTGAAATGTGGTGACGGTGTTGTGGTTGTTGATTTTTTTTTCTGCGGTTCGGTCAA